CTGAAATTGCATTTGGGCTCTGATGTTAAGAGGAAAGTTGTAAAATAGTGTTTGTTTTGTATAATTATTTTCCTAAAATTAGTTTATCACGTAAATGATCTAAACAACCTTTTTATCGATTTTTTTTTTTATAATAATTTCAAACAGAAGCATAAATACAATGCGAACCGTATATTAAATATAATGCTAATGATGGATGATAAATAAAAATTGCAATTTTTGCTCAAGTTATCACCTGATCATTTTTTTGAAATTTTTTATTTTGTAAAATTCGATTAATATTAATGACTAAAATCCAATTATTTTGTGGATCTCAGATTTATTACATAAATTTTGAAATTAAATATTTATTTCTAATGCTATATGATAATATGATAATATAAAAACCAAAATTATATTTATTTAAAATAAAGAAATAAATAAAAATTAATATACTTCTAAAATGTATCTTTCTAAATCTTTTAATTTGTTTACCCAGTTGGTTGCTTCTCCTAGTGTCAATCCTCCTGATTTAACAAAGCTACTTACAATAGCATCTTTAACATCTGACACTGGCCATGTAGGTCCACACAAATAAAACCATCCTTCATCTTTCAATAGGTATTGGTGCAATAAATCTCCATCTTCCTCCATTTTGTGTTGGATATATATTTTGTGTTTTTGGTCACGTGAAAAAGCCAGTCGTAAATGTGTAAGCAGTCCTTCAACATGATATGCCTCCAATTCCTCACCATAAAGATACTCCATTGAACGATGACGTGAACCAAAATATAAAATCATTGGTCCAACTTCAATGCCTTGTGATTGACGATATGCTCTTTCCTCAATAAATGCTCTAAATGGTGCCATACCAGTTCCCAAACCTGCCATAATTACAGGTTGTGTATCTCTTGGTGGGAGCTTCATCACTGATGGTTTTATTGAAACAGTTAAACTTTCTCCAATCTTAAGTCTGGAAAGATAGTGTGTACATTGTCCATATCGTTTTTTACCAGCTGAATTAGCCCATTCTACTGTCACAACCAGTAGATGTACACTGTTTGGATGCACACTTTGTGCTGAAGCTATGGAATAATGGCGTGGCTTGATTGGTGCAATAAGTTGAATAAGTTCTTCAACTGGTGGTCTTGCAGATGTAAATTCATATAACAGTTCTGCATATGTTATTGTGTCTTCAACACGTCGTTTAAACTCATTACTTCCCTCACTACTAGAAATCCACAACAATTTATTTTTTTCATCTTCATCAGTAGCATACATGGCTAATGATTCATAAAATTTTTTTGTTGGTCTGCCAAATATGTCCAAAACTTGTGAAAATATTTGGAAAATAGTCTTGGTTTCATATTTGTCACCTTCTTTGTTTGGAATAGAGATAAAATCATTTGGATTTAATTTATAAAATTCCAAGAAATGATTAACTTCATATGTATCATTATGTCCATACACCCCAAGTGCTTCACCTAGTTCATATCGTAATCCTGTTCCAGATATATCAAATTCAATATGAAAAAGGAAACGATCATATTCTAATGGAGTCAACCTTTTATTTTCAGTCACTTTAATAATATATGTTTTTTCCAAAATATCAGGTCTAACTTCCTCAACAGTTATTTTGAACAGTGGTTGGCATTATTTGATCAGATTTTTCTAAAATCAACCATGTTGGTGGTAATTCAATGGATACAAGTGACTTTTGTGTTTTTTGAATTACTTCAGAAACCAGATTTACAATTTTATGCTCATCATTACAATCATCACTTCCACTACTAATAATTTCATATAATTCAGCTATGCAGCTCTCCAAACTATAATCCAATTTCAACTCATTTTTAATTAAATTGATAGTTGCAATCTGTAAAGGTAGAGATCTAATTGAATCAACATCAAAATTCAATCCTAAATCTTGACTAATCATTTCTGAATCAAGTAGGTAAAGTTGAATGT